GGACCACTAGAGGGCGCCCGCGGACCTCTAGTCTGATCTAGATAGAACACTAATCTTTGGCGACGCAATCTGATGAGGTTTGGGTTTAAAATGCGGACTCACCGTCAGCTCTGAAGGCAGACAGGATCGGTGCGGCGATCAGTTCCTCCACGGAGGACTCCATCCTCCTCTCCCCATCGATCACCCAGGGAGTCTGAGGCAGGCTGCGGCAGAACTTGTTGTACCTCCCTGACCGAATTCAAGAATGTTTCAAGCATTTTAAAGATAAGTTTTCACATTTTTCCAGCACAACGTGTTGGAGGTAAAATTAATAAATCAATCAAGTTTATTGGTATAGCACACTTCAGCAACAAGGCAGTTCAAAATACAACATACAGTCATCAATAATTGAGGAAACATAACATTTTGATGGGTGCCATCACCAAAATCATTTAAACACATTAAAATGTTGATCAATGACATTCCCCCTAAAATTAATTGGTTAAACACAAACTACAAAGAGAGTTACAAAAAAAAAAAATCTAAAAAAATGTCCCTGCTATGTTTTCTGGCACTTAGCAAATAGAAATAATTTTGGTAGTTCTAACTGACCTAAAAGATAGAAATGAAAGTAGAAATGAGACAGTAAACATGTAAAGAAAGGTTCTTGCTGTCTTGCTTTACCTGCTATGAAGACAGAGACGTGAAGACACTGGATGTCCTGAGGGGTGCAGCTGCCGCTAGGCTCTGAAGGTGGACAGGGGTAATGTCTGGAAAAATAAAAGAAACATGAAAAAGCAATTGATGTTAAACAAAACACTTTGTAGAGACAACTCATTTCAGCATTACTTACTCTAAAAACTTCCCATCTGATATCTTCTCCAGAGCTTTAACCACAGCCATGCGGGTAAACACCGACTGTATAGGAAAAGCATCGTAGATGAAGAGGGTAAACACAGCATCAGTGAAGTACAGTAACTGGACTCTGGCATCAGTGGATCAGAAGCTAAAGGGGACCTATTATGCAAAATTCACTTTTTTATGTTTTTTACTTGTATTTGAGTCCTAACTGCTTCTAAAAACAACCCAAGTGTTAAAAAAAGACATTCAGCCATTATTTGGTTTCAAAAACCTTCTAATCATATGCTACTGGCACTGCATCCTCACCTAGCAACCCAAGCCAGGCCAAATTCTGTTACCTAGCAACGCAAGCTGAGTTCCAGCACATTTGGTCAGCTGACTAAATATGCTGTATTTTACTGCTGTATTTGCTGTACAATGGCTGCTGGAAAAGACAAGTGTTTTGTTGTTGACTCGCCATCCAGAAACCACTTGCTGCATTGTTGTTGATTGTGCAGGAGGCTCTACTAATGCTTTTCAAAGATGTGAGTTGTATAATTGTGTGCCTGTTTGCAGCCGTTTTTACGTTTGAGTGTAAATGTTGAGTTGGGAGTGTGGCTGGCAGCAGCTTATTTGGATTTAAAGTGACAGGAGGCCCTAAAACAGATCAGACTAAAATCTCGTTATCTAAGAATGACTTTGTGCAACAAATGTAGTGAACATCCTACCTTATCCTTTTCAAAGAAGCATAATAGGTCACCTTTGATATCTTTACCTGTTTGTTCTTGGTGGGTCTGAAGCAATCAGGACAGCATTTGGCTCTGCAGGACGAAGAGAACAAAGCAGGCAAAAATAAAAATCTGAAACTTGTGGGCAAGTCTGAACTGATCACTATTTTATCTCTGTTCAATTAAAAATGATTTGTTGTTTGTTTTTACAGCTGTTTGATTTCCATTTTTACTTAATGCTGCAGGAATGTGACAGGTTTTGCAGTTGGGGACTCACAGGAAGTGGCAGTCAGACTCTGTGTCTGGATGAGTGAACTCCACACCGACCTCAAACGGACTCTGAAACAATAACAGGGATGACCAATAACTGAACACATGTTTTGAAAATATTATCTTCTGTGGAGTATTCATTACCCAATCGATGTAATGAATACAATCACAATACAATACTTTAACCTTCTTCTGCACCTAATTTATCACATAAAATCCCAACAAATTTACGTTGAAGTGGAGCAACTTCTGATGTTGTTTCGTATAACTTTTTTTCTTCTGTTTCAATTGTATTTTTATTAAATTAATTAATTATAATTTTCAATCTAATATTATTTTAATAGACTCTGAGTTTTGATTCCACAGGCGGTATTTTTTATGATTGGATCTCACCTACCTTGCTAACCACAGCCACGCCCTCCAGCTGTCTTGTGACCAAACCCTGCATGATCCACTTGAAGGCCTCCTTCACCTGGATGACATCATCTTTATCGAGCACTAAACCTTTCTGTCTGTAAGACCAAACCAACTCAGATTGTCCAAAACTTCAATAGACAGTAATGTTCAAAATGTTCAACACAAGATCAATTCTTTCACCTGACTTCCTTCTTCACATGGAGCCAACAGGAGTGCTGAAGAGGTAAAGAATAAAACCTTAGCATACGATTATTTTGGGATGGAGGAAAAAATAGAGCGGGTTTGTCTCGGGTGTGCTGACCTCACGCACACAGAGCTGAGCCGGCAGAGAGACGGACAACACAAGGGTGTCAAACTGGTAGTTTTGGGCCTTCACTGTTTCAGCGATCTGTGGAAACGCAGCAGCTGATTTTAACTTTAGGACAATATGAGAATTGATCACATTTTAAAACCTCGTAACAAAAATAAAAGCTGCAGAATGCAACTTTTATTTTAAAAAAATGTGGTGATGATTTGATATGACATAATCTGTGAAAGGATCAATCTCCTCCACCTTCCCCATGTGGTACTACTTAGTGCTGTCAATCATACTCTGTGTAGCGCTGCTCATCCCTCCTCTCTCCATTGCTCTCTGCTATGCTGCAGCTAGCACAACCTGTTGTGCATGCTAAGGCTAGATAGCATGGCCACAGGCAACGTATTTCTTTTGTAACTGCAAGTTGTTTCTCAGTCACTAGGACATTTTGCAGTGCATTCGCAAGATTGATTGACAGCGCTAAGACAGTCCTCTGCTCTGATTGGTTGTTTTTGTTTGGGGCGGAACATTTCTTCAGACTGTAATATTAGCTCAGGGAGGAAGAGAATGAGATCGATCTTTTCACGTATAACAAACTGCCACAACATGGTGACAGTTTTAATAAATATGTAAAAAATAAAAATTTAAAATTAAAGTTACATACTGCAGCATTAAAGTATATTCCTCGGATTAAAACACAGCTGACAAGTCAAAAATGCTCTAGGAAGTGGCAGAAATTACACAATAAAACTCCAAGACTAAATAAAAAAACAAGGGAAAACACAATATATTTGAATTGTGCAGCCTAATAATGTGCAGTTAAGCACACAAGCGTTATATACTGCATCTTTAATTAAAAAGTAGAGAATAATTTCTGACAAATGCAAACCTTTACTGCCTGATCTGGGCCACATAAATCCTGCAGGATTCCCAAACATACGACACACACGCTTGACTCCTTCTTCAGCGTTACCATGGCAGCAGCATCTGTTTCTGACTGAACAGCCTCTATGGGATCCAGTTTGGCCCTTTTACAGGGAGGGTCTTCAACAGTTTGAGACAACTCAGTATCATGGGGCTTGATGTCTGCTGAATCCTGGACTTTGTTGTTTTCCTTCTCCATAATGAAAGTCTGAAGTTCTTTAAGAGTCTCCTGCAAAATATGAAACAGTCAGTAGATTGTTGCTCTGGTTAGCTGTGTTGGACGCACACAATAATAATTTCCAACAGAAATAAGCTGGAACCAGCAGAATCGGACGCAGCCCTACATGCTGTGCTTGTCGATAAGCAGCCTGGACGCTCACACAGCAGAACCTGAGCACACAGCGAGCGCAGCAGCCGGCTGTCAACAGCTTCTCAACGATGGGTTTGTCCTTCTCCTTCAGCGGCAGCATCACTGCAGACTGCAGGAGGGAAGAAAGCACTGTGGTCAAAATACTACAACAGACGTTTCACTAAATAAATTCAATACAAATATCAAATCCTCTGCGTTTCCGACTCAGATATTGAGACAGCAGAACTCTCTTTTTTTTTTTATTGCATTTGGATAAAAGTCTTTTGAAAGGTTTTCAAAACTGGATCTGGTGTAAGAAAGATTTCTTACACAAAGAAGCTTTTAAGTTTCAATATAATAAAATTTGGTCTTCTAACAGGGAATTAAGATATATATATGTATATCATGTACATAAGATCTTCTCAAGGCATGCGTGATTTTAAGGTGCTTCTTAAGATCAATTTTTATCTGATGGCATTTAAGTCTTTGTGATCCATTGTAATTGTGGTAAATTATTTTATTATTGTTGTCTTAATTATAAATAAGGTATCTACTGATTTCTGTACAGCACTTTGGTGCAGGTTGACCTTTTTAAAAAGTGATTTATAAATAAATTTGACAGGGAAAAATAGTGACATAATTTTATTCAAGGAAGTACTTAAACAAAACTGCTTATACCAATATGTTAATATCCAAAAAAGCTTTTATTCTGCACATATTAATGGGTAAAAACGTCACTCCAGGCTTTTGTGTAATTTTTCTCTCACTTGACTATTATTGCATTACTTTGAGTTGGTCTCTTGCAAAAAGAAAAAAATCCAAATACAATACATGATCAGCGATATACTTCCGATATAAACAAATAAGGTGAAAGAAGTGACACATTAGCGTATTTCCATTAATGCATCTATTTATTGTGTCTTTGGATAACAGCAGTACCTAACCGTGTTGACATTATTCCTGCAAAAGGTCAGAAGGTAGTTTTATTGCTCGATCTCATTTGTTCATCTGCTTCAAGAGCACGACCACGTTTAAAACTATGGTAATTAGCGAACAGTAAGCCTTGGAAATTCACATTTTTTGAAAAGTGGACCGTGTACCTGAGAGTAAGCTCATGATGAAACCTCTTAAGTGAACCTACCTCATACGGAGTTTATTTTGGAGAATAAAAAGAAACCAAACAGCGTTTAGTTTTCAGTGAAGCGCAGTTTTCTGCATGTCTGCGTCTGCAGTCCAAACTAATCAAGCTAGATAAGCATCACGAGCTAATATCTGTTTTAATGAAAAGTTTTTTAACTACGTTTGAGGCATATTTTTATTTTTAAGTATATACACGTGGAACAAATATATCAGTAAAATCATTTAAGAGCAAAAAAAACATTATTTTTGTTTACCACTCGACACGTACTGCCTGATTACGTCATCTTCATGCGCCGGGGAATTGACAGTCGGATCCTCCTTCTCTCTGCAGCAGCCGGTGGCTCTGGAAGTTTCTGACGGCGGACCCGGGGAACACGCCTTAATCCAAGTCCATCCGAGGCCGAACCGCGAGGTTTCACCCACTGGGCCTCATCCATTCCTCTCTAAAGTTTCCGTTAACATTTCCCATCGTATATAAAGACGAAATGCCCGAAGCCATGGCGGTATCGAAGGCATCAAGTGGAGGCCACTACAAAGGAGGGGCGTATGTGGACCGAGACAAGCCGGCCCAGATCCGCTTCAGCAACATCTCTGCAGCCAAAGGTGGGCTGAAATGTTAAACATGTGTTTGGACCTGCTTGTAATGTTCGGGTTGTACCTCGGCTCGGTTCAGGTTGGGCCGGGTTCGGCACCGTTATTTTGGGTCTAACGGAAGCTTCCTCCGGGCCTGGAATATCTTATGTGTTCCCCATGCTGAAGTGAAATATATCTCCTCAGGATGAACTTAAATAAAGTAAAAATGCTTGGAAGTTGTTGGATTGGATGAGTTTTGATTTGGTGCTGATGATCATGACTCAACACTTTAAAAACATTACCTTAGCTGAATGACTCAAGTATATTCTGTGTTTTAATTATTGTTTAGCTTGTTTAAAGTTGCATTATTTTGTTTTTTTTCAGTGGCAAAAATGTATTTAGATTGTCATTTTAAATACACATAATGCAGCAATCATTTTAAAGGTTTTTAAATAACTTTTCATACAACAGAAAATGCAGCACAAAATGCATTGCAGAAACCAAAGAAACCTCTT